GCCTCATCCATTTTCTGCAGAGAGCTGTTATGACGCTTTGTTAGAGAATGACAGGATTTCCCTGTAAGCAAGGAAACGGTCCCATTTCCCTCTTTAGTAATTGAAGAGTGCTGACAAAGCACTCCCGTGTGTGTGTATTATTTTCTCTACTTCTTATCATATTCCTGAAATGTAAACCACAAATCTAAATATTTAGCAAAAGCACTATGCATGAGTGAAGCCCTTCTCTGCTACCTTGATGGTGTTTCACTGCACATGAAAGCTCTTAGTTGCTGCCAGTTGTTTTTCTGGACATGCATGATGCATTGGTGTATAACTCCCAGGATTTTGCAAGCCAGTCTCCGTCCCTGGGGCACTTCCACTGGCCATTACTTTAGGCAGACTTCAAAGCAGGCCTGGATGCTACAGCCTGTGGCATGGTGGTCTGTCACTGCATGGAAAGACAAATGAATCTCTATATGTCCTTCTGTGTATCTTACACATGGCCAGCGTGGGTGTGTATATGTGCATATGTGTGGGTCCAAATAAGTTAATAGAAGCCAGGCGAACACAATGGCCCGTGATTGAGTAGGATTCAACAAAGTGGAAGACCCTGTCAAAGCCCTCGTTCTCCTCCTCCATCCTCGCTGCCTTCATTTTTCTCTGGCTCTCCATACTGCAGTCCCGCAAGCCAACCAGCCAGCCTGCTAATGTAGTTAGCTTCCCCCTAATGACGGTGAAATCTCATTAATATGCTTCACAGCTGGGTCCAGTAACCAGTGGGGATGAAGGTAATCAAATCTCAGAGGACTAACCTAGAGCTGAACCTCAAGACCTGGGATGAGACGTCCCAGCGTCTGGAGGCTTGATGATAGCTGGTGGGCTTTGTGTATGTGTGCGTGTGTGTCTTGGTCTGGCTTTTTTTTTTTTTTGCTCTTGATGCCTTTGAAGTGCTGATGTTAGCCAGGCTGTATTATGTCAGTATTACAGCTCGAGCCAGTTCATCATTAGAATCAATATCATTTCTGTCTTTTCTGAATTTGTCCATTCAGCTCTAGTCATGCCATGATTGTTTATGGAGGATGTGGCTGCAAAGGGAGCAGCTTCGCTCTAAGTGCACTTGTGGCTCATGATGTATGCAAAGTGAGTCTGAAGAGTGGCATTACAGACCACTCACACTTGGGTGTAATTAAATCATTGGTGCTTTGACTCTGAGATCAAGAATATCGAGGCACATTAAGCTATTAAGATATTTGGGGGCTGAACATGTACACCCTGCCATACAAACGCACAGTGTTCATAATACTTGCCTCTGAATCTCAATATTAAAGAGAGAGAGACCTAAGCAAATTACATCTCGGAGCTTTTATATGTTGGTCATTCAGAATTGGTTTAATTAAATAAATACATTGTTCCTTCACTGCCAACTCGCACGTTGTTCAACCCAGTTAAGTAGAAAATTCAGAATTTGAAATGATTTCATTAATTTTTAATGCACACATTACTTTAAATGTGCCAAAAATAGCTGGAAGACACAGTCAGCGGTCAGTTGTGACACTGCCACAGCCTCCTTTAAATGGACTTGTGCTGGTTCAACGAAGTGCATTGTCACCTGTGTTTGTTTTCTGGTTGCACCTGACATCCCGTGCTGTTTAGTCCCCACTCTGGGACTGGTCTGACAACATGCCAGGCTGCAGGCTTAAATCCAGCCTCGTGTCTGGTTACAACAATTGCGGTGATCATACAATCCGTGTGGTTTATGTTTCACTTCCTCACCACAGTACAATGATTCCTTATCAGTTACTCCTGCTGTTTTTAATTTAAACATTATTTTCAGGGTTGCAGGTTTGTATCCCCAAGCAAAGCCCAGTGTTATTGTCTTTTCATGCTAGTCCTCTTGGCTAAAAGAATGATATTCTAGCTGTAGCTGGAGTATTAGTTACCGAGGTGACTTTACAGGCTCTGGAGGGGCTCCGGCCTGGAAACCCTGCCAGGCCCACAAATTTCCCGTGTTAACATGTTACAAGGATATCGAGGGAAGCTCTCCAGGCGAGTATGAGTCAGTTCTTCCAGTGTTTATGTGTTATGATTTGGTGAATCAGACAATAGGCAGGCTTGTATATGATGACTGGTGTAGATCAGAGTTTGGATGTCGGCTGGTGTTGAATAATGCCTGGTTGAAAGCTACCAAAGGGCTGAGCAGCTCCGTCCACAGGCCTGCCATTGTTTTTGTTCCATGCCTCAGCTTGACAAAGCTCCAGAAGCCAGCCATTGTATTTAATTACAGTCGCCAGCCCCCTCACAGACTCTTGTCCTTGTGTCCCAGATTTCCATGGGTGCTCTCATTAAGACGGTGTATTCTGCATTTGCTTATGTGTGTGTATGTGTCAAACCAATGAAGCTTTTTTTTAATGGCTCCAGGAAAGCCCTTAGCCTGTGTAAATGTAGGCTCGGATGCAGTTTTTATGTTTGTGTGTGGGTGGCACATCTGTTAGTCTGTGTGTTCCTAATGAAGGTACCCTTAATTTGGATGAATAGCTCTGTGGTCACACTAATAATGCAGGGCTGTAATCAGCACAGAAAAGTGAATGGGTTTTTTTGTTTGTTTTTTTGCTAATGAGAAAATATGCCATGTTATGTAAGGGCTGCTCTATTTAAGTTTAATTTGTTTGATGTGGCAGCTGCATGGCTCAGTGGCATGAGCAAAGATCGCCTGTGATGACACCAATAAAATGGCAAAGAACAGACTTGCCGTTGCCAAAATCTGTCCTCCTCCTCACACCCAGTTCACTTTGTGACTGAATCACCTTGCTGTTTCCTTCTCAACTAGAGTAAAACTAAAGCATGCCTTCTTCTTGTATTGCTATATGAACATATGACCTGCCCACACATTCTCTAAGAGAATTAGGTAGGTCCCCTATCGTTCCTGTCCTCTAATCATATCTGAATCAAATCTGTAAATGTTCTCAAAGCTTCATCTTAAATTCCGACAGGTAGGTTTGTGTGTGTGAGCGTATACCCGAGGGAGAAACATGAGAAAAGTCATGCAACCTTGCTCTGACTTTGTTAACTGGTTTTATAACTTCATCTGTTTTGTATTTTCGTTCAGTGTTCCAACACATCACATTTCTCTCTCTCCTATGTCTTTTTTAACCTCGTATCTTTTGAAAAACTCCCTGTCTGTGCAACAGAAAAGCATTCAGAAGTAAATAATATGTGTATGACTCCAGACTGTGGTTCATACTGTTACAACTTGTTTTTTTTTTACCTGCTTTCAGAAATGTTTAAAATCAAGTTAGTTTCATGCCTGAACTGTTACTGCCCCTTTTACACCAAGAGCTTAAAAGGTTGCTGTTAGTGTGAAAGTAACATATGATATCAGGGCCTCATAAATGAAAAGTCTGAATGTCCCCGGTCTGATAGGTTGCCGCTGTTAGGCGTTGCAATGTGAGCTTTATAGCCGTTTAGTTTAACTGTCCCTGCCACCTGAAACCCACTTGGATATGATCGGTGTGTTTTCCTGATGGCAGAGATATCAGACAGGCTTCGTGGAAGCTCGATTCTGGTGTACGATGCTTGTGTTTGTTATTTTTTCCAGAACACCTTGAATATATCTGGGCATCGGGTTGGTTTATTTTGGTTGTTCTGAATGTAATCTTCCCCTGGACCATCTGCTGCATGCCATGGATATTGGCAAGCTAAGATCTGCACACGAACACTATAATAGGATAGGAAAGTGTGTGTTCATGTGTGTGAATAAGAGAAAGCAGGGGAGAAAGCCTCCTTGCTTTATATTACCTAATGTGCACTGCAAGTATAGATGTGTGTGTTGTGTCAGGGTCCAATGTAGTATTTGTCTGCAGAGTGGTCATGTGGAGTGTGTTCACAGCAGTACTACAGTCCCACTCTGTTAAATATAGACAGCTTATTTACACCTAAGCACTAAGCAGCTTGTCGGCCTCCCCAGTCCCTCCTCTGTGTAACAGATGATGCTCGATGGAGCAGTGTGGGTGGTGGACCTGTGTAATTTAGGGATGTAAAGATACTGTATTTGTAATTTCAGGATAGAAAACTTTCTTGATACCAACTTGGGACTGTGACTGCATGTACCACGATATTATATATGGTTATTCCACTATTATAACTATGTTCAGCTCGCGGTTTCAAACTAACACAGCGGATGTTCCGTCGTCTACTTTTCAGCAGCATTTCAGTTTTGCTGTTTCAAGAAATGACACGGGCAGAAAGGAAATTGAGTTTCACTGCCAGATGAAGGCAATACTAGCCCTGTTTAGGACAGAGACAGTCCTGGATACATCTCACAGAAACAGTCTTTGCACAGCAGCTTACCTCCCCATAATCCCACCCCACTTTGTTTACATGCACAAGCGCACAAAATAAGGGAGGCCCACAAAGGATGATGGCCTCTTTGTGTTTAGTGTGCTGTTACTGAATTAGACCTGAGTGAGGTAGGTGTGTGGATTTGGTTCCAGGTAAACAAGTCACAAAGACCCGATTTGCTTGGTCAAAAGCAGAGAGAATTATGCTCAGCTTTGTTTGCAGTATTTTGATGAGTAAAGTGCATGATTTATCTTTTAATATTTTAAGGCACAAAAGCACAATTTAAAAATAAATACAAGCACAATTTCAGGCCCAGAGGAGTAAACCTGTCTTTGAACCTGCTAGCAAAGCAAGCCGTAATTTCAGCGATAAATAAGGATACTGCAGAGGCTGGTTTCATTGGTGCTCTGATGATGCCTGTGTTTATTCTTTGAAGATATTTTTGCAGTCTTTTCTGATAGATCTGAAAAAGCCTGATCAAGAAATTGCTCTTACAATATTTATAAAGTTCTCCTTCTGGTGATTTGTATTGGATGTCATCAACAGTGTATCTGTCTGGACTGGATTGTTTAAAATCTGTGTGCGTTTATCCCACTGATATTGATCAGTGCCGCATAACTGTCAGCATTTCACCTGATAGTGTTCACTAACCCCTCTTGTTGCTCCTTGCCCCTCCACAGCGATAGAGACCCAGAGTACCAGCTCAGAAGAGATAGTACCAAGCCCGCCCTCACCTCCCCCGCCGCCCCGAGTCTACAAGCCCTGCTTTGTGTGCCAGGACAAGTCCTCAGGGTACCACTATGGTGTCAGCGCCTGCGAGGGCTGCAAGGTGAGATTCCCGTCCTTCCTCTGAATCTGCCAAGCAAGCAAGATGTTTGTCGGTCCTGCAACTCTCACTAGGACAAAAAATAAACAAGTCTTCACTGTCTTAGTGATGATGGAAATAATAAGGCTCATCATTTGGAATATTTCACATTCGTGTGGGTTTTTCCAGTGTGGAGAATTATTCACTAACATCTGTTTTATTGGGCTGCCTAGTTACCAATACAGCCTCTTTCAACTCTATCTGCACTCATTATAAACAAGATAACACACACAGAGCAGCAAAGATGCATGATATGCCCACGTCGGCTGTCTTATCAATACAGCCATGTTACACACAGGTGCACCTCATGTCCCCACTGTCGTGAAGCCTCTTCAGCACCCGTGTAACATTAGTTATCAGGTGATATTCGCTGTGTGCATGCGTACATGTTCTCCCGTTCATGTGAACACACACACCTCTTTGGCTCTGAGCCTTGGGAACAGTGAGATAGAGTTGTGTAAGCTCACAGGAGGATAGAGGTGAAGAGGAGCGGAATCTCTGGAATGTAATGTAATGTCTCTGCCAGGTGCAACCCTTGTATTTCTGCAACATTTCAGAAACCACCCTGAATGTATCTAATAGTATTTCTACAGTTGCAGAGTAAGAATGACAACACGAGTGTACAAATCGTCTTGAGAGGTTTTGTCGTGACAGCATCTCTGTGTGTAGCAAGAGGACATAGGGAGCAGTTGGCTGAAGACAGACAGGGTGGTGCTGATGGTGACAGGTGCCTGCTGGACCCTTTGACTTATTGACTGCTGAGCTAATACTGTGGTCTGTCTTTCCATATGTGCAGAGATGGAAGTAGTGTTGAATGAGGGGGGAGCAGAGCAGAGAGAAAAAGCCATATTGAAGAAAGCAGGAGGCAGTAGCAGTGAAAAAATATGAAAGCGTAAGGAAGGCCAGAAACCCAGGGGGAATGTAGAAATGCCGACAAAATGGTACAAAGATGGGGGAGACTGCAGTGAGTGAGTCGGCAGGAAGGAGAGAGCAGGCTGTGCTCTGGGAGGCATGGTGAGCTGAAAAGAGAGAGAGAGAAGTGGGGGTGGTTGGAGAGGCAGCAGATTAGGCAACGGGGTACAGGGGCCACAGCTGAACTCATTGACACCAAAAAGAAAGACAGTCAGTGCACCAGAGCACGGGGGAAGGGAGAAACCAGTAAAGAATGCACAAAGGGAGGCTAGTGCAGGAAAACTAGGATTCTGGCACATGTCTATAAACAAACACATTACCCTTTAACACAGACCCTCTGAGCACTCCATGACACTTAACCTGGTTTCCACATGTGACTTGTAAAAGTCCATAAAAGCTGACCACTGTGTTGTTTTATAAGGGCAACCAAACTGTTGCTTCATGGGTCCTGTGGGTGCTTAATATGAGAAATGTAAAACAGAGTTTTCCAAAGTTAAGGTTGCAAAATCTGTGAAAATGTATTTTTTTTAAATGAAGCGTGATGCTCATACTAAAGAGAAAGAGAGGGAGAAGCTGCTTCCAGGTTTTATTCAGGATAGTGAAAACATGACTGTCAAAGATGGTCACATCATAACTGTAGAGCCAGAAAGAAGATGGGGAGAACTGAGAAGGAGCAGCAGTGTGTGTGTGTGTGTGTGCGTGTGTGTTATATACTTCAGAGGGAGAGAGGTTAAGCACAAGTGTTTGAGAAAAAGGATGATGTGTGTAGCTGATGTTTCGTTCCTCGTGCCAAGTATTTTACAGTGTGTATCACCGATGTGGAGGCATTATTATTTTTGGGTTGTACGTCTGTCCTGTCCATTTTTGTGAACGAGACAAGTCAACTGTTTCAGCTGTGGCTTTGGCATGCTGTTGAGTTTTGTTTGTAGGACTCACTTAAATTACAGCACCCATGTTCATTGATGTGTTTGAATTGTTTTTGGAGAACAAAGGTCTCTAAAATTTAAGAATAATCTGCAATATATCAGGTAATACAGTACAAGTACAGTAAGCATGCTTTCAAAAATACTGCGATAAATAGTTTTGATGCCTCCGCGCTGTCACTAGCCATGGATGGACCTATTATTATTTGGGTTGTCCATCCGTCCATCCAGCTCAGAAACGCTTTGAGTGAATTTCTTAAATTTGGCATAAATAAATGTCCACTCAGACTCAAAAATGATTAGATTTTGGTGATCAAAGGTCAAGGTCAGTGACCTCACGTCTGTCCTTTTCCCGTGAATTTGACCAGTTGGCAGAGGCGTACATCTGCAAAACGGTAATTCTAGTTCCTAGTCCAGTCTGGGTTCATAATTGGTCAACGACACATTATATGTTTTCAGCCTGTGTTAGCCTGTGTGCAGGGTAGCTGATCACATAACAGTGCTAATCTGAAGAATTCAGGATTCTCTGTACCGCTGACTTCACAGGAGATGATGTTGCATAGCATATTCACTAATTCAGCACTACGAGCTTGTGGATGTATATGCTTGTCTCATCTAAGGCTCGGGTAAGTCGAAGGTTAGCAGCATTGGCTTTGCTGCAGCGCGCCAAACTACAAAGGTGTTTCCTGGGGGCTGCAGTGAGCAGAGGAAACGGGAGGGGGATGCTGAGCTCTGCTACTGGGAGACAGCTCATTCCTTTATTGTTTAAGTTCTACCACCCACACATATTCACCGGCATTGCACTTCTTTCCCCCCTGCAGATATGAACACTTAAACATTAAATATGCATGCCCACCCCCTCATGTTTATGTTTTTGTCTTGGAGACATGGCAGCACAGAGCAGGCAATCTCTCCTCCTGATATCCACTGCGATGGGAGGAAATGAGCATATTTCCAAAATCCCTAACCAGTTCCTGCATGAATGTCCTCTGTTTGCTGTGTTTTTGGAATGGCGCCCTTACCAAGCATCCATCTTTACAAATGTGTAGGCTGTAGAAGTTGCAGCCTAGTAATACAGGTGCACACATGCACAGACGGAACAGGAGGCTGGGAATGCACTCGTAATCTGGGCACAGTGTGACTTTCACACTGTGCTACTTAATAAAGCATTTCCTCACACACGAAAAGTGGAACACACTCAAACACATGAAGCTCATACCACACACCAGGTAGCTGTGAATTCAGGAGCACATGACACATGGAGTCAGGTTTGTGTTGCTACCGTTGGCTCCTCTTTTTCATCCCGCTCTCCCACTCCCTCTGAACACTGCAGGATGGCTGAAGGACCCGCTGAGGGCCCTTGTTGGGTTGATTAAGCAGCAATACAAAAAAGAGGCTTAAGGGCCTCAGGAAGCAATGACTCCTTAAAGATGGAGATTGAGGGGGCAAAAACAATCAACTGGCCCACGAGCCAGCAGCAACAGCCAATCAGGATGCGATGTGTGAAGGCACCTGAGCCACATGGTGTCAGGAGGACGTTGGTAGGTCCCCTGGTGGCCCTGGGGGTCAGGGTCAGGGCACCGTTGTATCAAAAAAGAGCATGAAACATGTACACAGGCACACACAAGAGATAGCAGGGTTGTATCTGCTGTAGCCACCAAACATTTCATTTCTCCTCTCGGGGTGGTGCTAGACAAGCAGGACTAGCAGCAAGGTATCAGGGCTGAAAAGGATCGAGTCTTCCCTGCTTCTCCAAGTTTAAAAATGAATAGCGTGCGTCAACAGGTTGCAAATTAAATATGAGGCCTTGATGAAGTCACGACACATATTAGACTGGGTGACCTTCTGCGAAAATTAAGCGCTTCCTGTTCCAGCTGGAAGCTATCACATGTTATTGGCACTATCATTTGCACTGGTAGTACCGTGCTCAACCAGATACGTGATGACAAGTGTACACACTTCCTCTTTATAGTTCACCAGAAGCCTGAATCACTTCCCCGTCAGTGGATGGGTGATGTGAGAAGAGGCTGGTGATCTGAGAAGGACAAATTGCGGGCTTAGGTCCACCAGCCATCTGTCAGCTAGCAAACCTAATCCCTCAGCATGGGATGGGGCTCCCTCCCTCTCTACTCTACCACACCACACTCCTACCCACCTCCCTTGCTGGCCTCGCCCACCCTCCTACCCACCAAAACATAACCTGTGCCCCACTGCGTCTCACCAATACTGACTCTGACCTGTATTACATTAGTTCAGTGCCTTGGTTGCTGAGCACTCAGTCAGTTGTGGCTGATTTGCATTAACCTCTTTTAATCTCTTTGACACTAAAGCAGATGTTTAAACGCTAAGGGCACATAGGTTAACACTGATTTTTATTGGGGGGCATGAAAGTTATGAGGCATTGCTTTGTCATTGTGGGCTCAGTGTTTATAGAACTTCTTGGATCCAAAGCACATTTCTACATAAACATTACTTGAAATCATACATTCACACAACATAGATTTCATAATTTTTTACAACATAAAGATGATCAAACTTTTTCTTTCATTGTGTTTCTTTCATTAGAAATTTGCAAGTGTAGTTTTTTGGTAAACATGAATGCTTTGTAATTTGTGACCCAGGAGGGTCACGGGTTTCATTTGGGATGTACACTGTGCTCGGTTTCTGTATCTTGCTTTTGTGCAGTCAAACCATAATATTCCCAGAAAGCTCACACTTCAGCTCAATGACCAAAACAAGCTGATTATAATTTGTCCTCAACCCTCACATCCTTGGAATAATTTGTCAAATTCATTCTTTGACTTGTTTTGATCCTACGCTCCAATTATACTGAAAAGGAAAATGCATTCTTTTTGGTTCTTACAGTTCACTTCCAGCCTATGATTGTCTCTCTCTCTCTCTTGTAAAATGCACTTGACCTGGATCTAGACTTGCTTATTTCTGGCTGTGTAAACTAGGCCACAGTTGTGTGGCACCCAGTAACCCTTATGCCTTTTGCCTCAAAAGCCTTCAGCTCTGAGACATCCCTGAAAGTGCTTTGTGGCTGGTCTCAAGTGGCCCTTGCTGAGCAGATGGGTGAACTCATGAGATGGTGGCAGTCCACTGTCCAGATTATGTCACATAAGCCCTTTAAAGATTTAACTGTTTGGTGGTTCATTGCGTTTTAGTCCCAATTTCATATGGCCATTCTTCATGGCGTCTTTAACCTCGCAGGTCATTAGGTTTTTTTAGTTGGGAACTGGATGAAGAGGGCCACTGTAAACATGGGCAAGATATTTGCATAAGGCAACTAAAGCTCATAATAAAAGCAGCGATGTTGACAGATCATATATATGCTAGGCAACAATACAGCGTTATTTGCTGAGCAATTTAGTTATTTGCTGCTCTATTTGCCAGGACAGCCTTATTTCCTTGACTTCTCTTTTGCTGCCCGTCCCTGTGCCGGCACCTGTCCTCCCTCCTCCTGCTCATGTGTCTGTCTCTGTCACACAGGGCTTCTTTCGGAGAAGCATCCAGAAGAACATGGTGTACACGTGTCACCGAGAGAAGAACTGCATCATCAACAAAGTCACCCGCAACCGCTGCCAGTACTGTCGTCTGCAGAAGTGCCTGGAAGTTGGGATGTCCAAGGAGTGTGAGTCTAAAAGCTGTGTTACACAGAACACCCTGCTCCTGCAGATCTAAACATAGATGTTTAAAGCCGGAGGGGTTAGCATGATTGTTACCACTGCAGGAAGTCTTTAGCTACAGCATTTGTTGACATTTGTTTCACTATTAACATTGCATAAGTGTCCATTATTGCTGCACACACACACATTAGATTTGACAGCAATACATCTGGGAATGTGTGTGCTTGTTTTGTCAACAACTCACGACTTTATTTAACATCTGAAGGACCAGTCAGATAAAATATAGTATGCCATAATGTTGCTGGTTGGGTGGAACCCCTAGCCAGCCTGTGGGATCAATCAGAGTTAGTCAAAGTAAAATCAAAGCTGTTAATTTCAGCGTTTAGCTGTTACCCTTTTCATCAAATTTTTTTTTTATTTTTGAGGTTTTAGTGTGAAGAGAATATCCGCTGTAAAAGCGAGACAAAGGGTAGCGTTGATGCAGGCTGGCAGTAACGGTCAGGATGTCGCCAGGCTTGGCAGGCTGCTGTGATGAATATGTTCTCACCTGCCGAGAGTGAAAGAGCAGGCGTCTGCTCCCATCATTGCACCCCCGGGGGCTGGATGAACTTACACTCTCACACACATACACACAAGCGGTCAGACTTGATAAAGTAATTGGTAGAGGTGTGACCACAGAGAACTCAAAGGCCAGCGGGGTTTTTACCTCAACCCAACCACAGGATACACTGTTAGACACACACACACACACACACACACACACACACACACACACACAAACGCTCGCCATCATTTTACACTTAGCCAGATGTGTGTATAGGGCACATGGGTTCCCATAAACACTCAGTAGCAGGACATAGTTTAAAAAAGGCATAGAGACTCTCACAGGCACAGACCTGTTTAAATACATATACAGTACATACAGCCCTGATCACGCCATCCCTCTCTGCCCCCTGTCGTCCCAGCGCTACTTACCTCATCTTTCTGGTACAGAGGGGGCAGGGAGCACTCCCCATGCCTCAGCACTGTGGCTTACAGTAAAAGAAGTTATCCTCTGAGCTCCTTACCTTTGAATGGGGCCATTAATCATTGTTAGAAGGATAACTACAGCCAGCTCCTTTACGTGCGCACACACACACACACACACACACACACACACACACACAGGGAGAGAGAGAGAGTGAGCGAGCACACAATAGGGGAATAAGACTGAAGTTGGAGAACCATCTAGTGGTGAAGAAGTAGCACTACACAAGAGAAAATGGTTTTCTGAATGGATTCAGGTTTGGACATTTTATTGAACAGATTTCGACCCTATGTTTGCTCGGGCGGTTTTGGTTTAACAGTAAAGTCTTCTCTGACTGTGGTCACTGTGTGCAGAGTGTACAGATTGCTCATCTTGTGTCCTCAGCGGTGACTTTAGCTGGTGAAACTGGTTGGTGAGGAAGGAGAGACTGGCCATCTGGGGCCAGCAGGGAGTCTCTTCTGCTTCTCACACATACACACACAGATAAAGCATGCTCGTGCTCAATTTCATACATACATATATGGTGATAACTACAAACTGGCCTGAATAAAAGCTCTTTAACATAAATACACTCCACAGCTCCACTTAAACACCATACGCTCTTGTACACGCGCGCACACAAAAAGTGGAGCCCCCGCTAGCATCGGGGACGTCTGGGTGACCTTGTGTGTGCAGGCTGACAGTGCCAGGTCTGCTGCCAAGTGGCGATGCCAAGCAAGACGGTGTCAGAATGAGGGGAGGGTGGTGCTGGGAACAACTGGAGGTTTACAAGGGAAACGCCTGTAAGCCGAGCGCCATGTTAATATCAACCTGGCACTGTGTGTCATAATTAAGGATAACATACAATTAGGGTTGCAGTGGTATATACAGTATACCATAGTATGGAAATTGATGGTTGCCATACCATGTACATTTGGTAATTATCGGTATTGTATTAAAAAGGGCAATGCGTGTGCACCTTTCTTCCCCTCACTGCCTGTCAGACTCCACAACGGGCACCACACGCACACAGCAGACAAATGACAGAGAGAAGCAGGCTGAAATCACCAAACTCCATCCACCAAAAAAGAACTTCAATCCAGCAGCGCAAGATTACTTTGGGTATCTCAAAAACGAACACCTTGAAGAACACCATCCCTCTGTACAGATCAAAATGTGTCCCGTTTATAACTTTAATCCCAAACAATAAAATGCGCTATCAAACTGTGATATTTTCTGGGATGATTATCACACTGTGAAAATCTCATACTGTTTGGCTCCCTACATACTATACATCATGACCGTTTGTATTTAAAATGTAAATTGCAATCATTTCAATAGCAAAAACATGAAAATGGTGGAAATATTGGCTCAGTTTTGATGAATAGTAGATTCACAAGCAGGTAGAACAAAAATAAGAAGTAGAAGTTGCAGTGTGCGTACATGAAGCTACATTTAAACTTTATTCCAATATTGTAGGTTTATTCCTACTGCTGACCCTTCACCTTTTTTGTGCATCATGACTACGCAATCTTCCACGGTGTGTTTATACTAGTGTTCCAAGCAGCACCATCCTTCTCTTCCTCCCTCCCTTTATCACGCCCTCCCCATTTTATTGTCAAGCTCTCTAAGCTATCGCCCACACGTTCCTTGAGGAAGGTGTTATTTGGCAATAGAAAAAGTAATAAAAGTAAAATAGATGAAGCAGAGAAGGCTGGAGAAAGGTGCAAGGGGAGGATAACATCAGCCAGGAAGCCAGGCTGGTAGAGAAAGATGAAGGCTGGGACAGGGAAGAGTATTGAACCCAGTATGAGTGAGAAGGAAAATCAAGAGTTGAGAGAGCAGCGGGGGGAGTGGGAGGAGGGGGGTGAAAGAGGTGGGAGGACAGAGAGAGGGAGAAAGTTTCATCACTGTCGACAGTGGCTCTGCGCTGCGAGCAGCAGGAGCAGGGGGAACATTGACATTTTTATCTTTCCATTGAATTTAATCTGTGTGATGGACGAGCTGCCAGCGCTTTAATTTTCCTCACACGAATTATCCCCCTTCTGCCCACCTCTCTCCGGCTTGTGCACACAAATACGGACACACCGAGGCACCAATACAAGTTATCTATTGACTGTTAACTGTACGCTGCAGCTAAAATCCACTATGAGAACAAATGATAAAGTGATGTGTGTGTGTGTGTGTGTGTGTGTTTTTAGTTTTTATCCAAGGAACATGTAACTGCAAACAAGCCCGGATGCGAGGCCCCCCCCCCCAGCGTTCATATTGTCATAATACATCTTGAAAGATGCATTCCTTGAACACAAAAACAAATCAAAGTGCATGTTTGTGCCCACATCCACAGACACACAATAAAACAAACAGAGCCGTATTTGAGCTCCCTCGCTACCGTCGTCACCCTCCCACCCCCACCCCCAAGTTATTGCATGTGGCAATTCGCCATGACAGATCGCCAGTTGTGCCTAATAGTTCTTTAATGACTTCATTAAATTGTGTTGTACGGCTTATGATTGTGCTGCCAATTTGTCAGCACACATAATGTCTTGGCGCTAGGGATGCCCCACTTTTATTTGTGAATTAATTGTACGAAGACTTTGTTGCCGCCCCACCCCACATCCCTCGTGGCTGACAGGACACGGGTTCCCTATGAGCACCATAAGCAAGTGACCTCAGTAGCTGAGTGTTGTTAAAGAAGGCGTTCCTTCAGTTACCAAGTCATAATTAGCTCATGACTGTTATGTATTAATTTGCATGTTTTCACTGTCATATTTTATGAAACTATATAATATGTGGTTTTGATGGGTCAAACATCACTGCACAGTTTCCTAGTGCATATCCACGTTACTTTCACACATGAACTTCGACTGAAGTTCCTGATTCTCATTGTGGCTCCAGTTAAATATTTTTCTTGGTGTCTTCATTGTAAATGAGCGTTTTTCTTCACCACTGGACATTTTTCTTCTGGTTTCGAGCAGGTCACACAATAGAACGCCATCAACACACCCACTAGCGTATTGAGTACTCCAGACTACACGCTGCTGTTTTCTCACATGAGCTCCCTCTGATTCCATGTGTACTTTGTAGTAGGGAGCTTGCAGGGTAGTCTGCTTATTGTCCAGATCAGCTGACTCAGACTTTTGAGTTCTCACAAACAGCACCTCTGGCTAACATCTAGATAATTTCAGGGTTCTAGTGCATGTCCGAAATGGGCTTTAAAGTTACACCAGCCTACCACGTGCATGCCTGCCACTAAAATGCTGGTAAATCATTATGACTATATATACCACATATTATTACAGTACTGTCTGCACAGCAAGGTCTTATTCATTTCTTGTTGTAGTGCTTGGCAGTAAACATGCAGAATCGGACTTCCAGCTCTCTCCTTCCTCCTTCCACTCATGTTCTCCCAGGCAGGGAGGCTTGTCTGTGGGCTGATGAATGAGCAGCAGCACCAAGCAGTGCACCCCTTCTCTGGCCCCAGGCCAGGCCCCTCTGTCACACACAGTCATCTTCCAACAGCCTCGGTTTTCTCTCCCTTAATGGTCAAGGCTAGGATCAAGACGAGGAAAATCTGATCATAGGTCAGCAG